AATAAATAAAGTTGAAGTAGATATTTCTATTTTTTGTCTACTGTTTAATAAACTTTTATAAATATATTTATTTAATTCTCTATAAAAATAATTTAACTTAGGAACTTTCTTATGCATATAAACTAATTGAAAGAAGTTATCTCTTGCAAATACTTTTTAAGATTTACTTTATATAATATATAAAGTTTGTGAGAAAGGTTTTCTTTTCTCTTGATACAATTTTAATTTATAAAAATATTTCCTCTGAGCAGTTTGTGTAATGCAAAAATGCATGTGCATATAGAAAACTAAATATATTTTTATTTTAAGAAATATCTCCAAATGTCTTCTCTAATTTTGCATTTCAAAACTAAATAAATTTATCCTCGTACTTTATTATACGAACCATTGACATAGCTTTTTATTTTGAAATCTATTTAGTTAACGCTTTTAATTACTGTATATATACCTTTGGCTGTCGAATTTTTACAATTCGGTGCTGAATAACAAACCATTATATAATATATATATATACTAGCAGATGAGCCAGGCGTTGCTCGGGCAAAAAGTAACGATAGCGAAGATTAAGATTATTACATTATAGCCGATCTTACCCGTTTCCACCGAGTGCAAGAATTAGGTCTCCCACTTCCGAGGCAATTAGAGAATTTTTAGATGGGTCTAAAAATATGTTCGATTTCACGGAAAAACGCACCAAACCGCATCTAAAATAGTACAATAGAAGCCGAGTTCGTCAGTGTAATCCTTAATCCTCTCCCTCTCCTCTGCGGGGGGAATTTCGAAAAATCCCTTCTTAGTGTACATTCTTATTACAAATCCTATCTGTGTACCAAATTTCAACTTTCGTCTCTTAACTGTTTGGGCTCTGCGCTTATTATTATCAGCTCATTTCGATTATATTATAAGATATATAACAAGAAATCCAACTGACTGAGATCGAAAGAAACAATCAGCATTGCTCTAGAAACAACTTACATACCGAAAAGACTCAACATGGCGACTGCCGCGATGCAACACGGTATCGTGTCTTGACCTTATGTTTATAGTCCTTGGTCTGAGGAAAGTGCCATTTATTTCTTTAGAATTAAAATGGATAGAAATTAGCTACTTTGAGATTAATTATTTATATGTATAATCAGTGGCGTAGCGTGGGTGTCAGCCGCCCGGGACAGAGGAAAATTTCGCCGCCCCCTCATTTAGGTATCTCAATTTAAAAGACTAAAATTCAGTTTCGTCACAGAATAAGTAATGAAAAATTCCGTGCTAGTGTTGTCGCCTTTTTAAAATCGCCGATCCGGACGGCAGGTGAGGTTTGTTCGAACAGAAGTTCCTGACGCATGTGTATGTCATTTTGCAATGAGAAGAATAATTTGCAGTGCATGCTGGTTCTAAATCAATTACAGTTAGCGACTAGGTAAGACTTGGGTAAGAGTAACATAAGTAATCTAGATGACTTAGCTCTATGGGATATTGGAGGTGTATAGGAGTACGAATGAATCGTACAAAAAAAAGGGTCGACAGGTTGCGCACGATATCCCCGGACGGCGTTTCGGATCGTAACACTATTCCGTGCTCATTTCAATCGGTCCGAATCTACGATTCGGATTGATTGAAATGTGAAAATATGAAATAAAATGGTTCAAATTCTTACAAGATATTATTATTATTTATTGTCAAATTTTGCCGCCTCCTAAAACGTAATTTTGCCGCCCCCCTACGCTACTCTACTGTGTATAATAGATGATAATGAAAAATTTAACCGATGTAGGTGTAGAACGAAATCTACCCAAAATTGCTACTTGTAGTTACATTAATTGGAATATTGAAGTTTTGAAAGAAATTGACAAGCTAATAGTTTTTTCTATAAAAAATAAAAATAGCATTGAATTATAATAAATCAGATTTTTCCGGACGACCTTCTACAAACAGTTTCAATTCAATGGTGAAGAATTCTATCAGCTTTTTCGTCATTCGATAATATCTTAGAAGTTTCAAATCAGAGAAGTTTAGAAGAAACAATCAGGAGAAACCTTCGACTCGATTATCTATCAATAGAACCAAATACATGTAACCCCCGTATAACACGGTAGTTACGTTCCAAAAAATTGCCGTGTTACGCGAATCCGTGTTATACGAAACAAAGAACTAATACGAAAAGGAGGGTTAGGTTCCAAAAATTAAAAAACATGCTAGTATATTTTCATAATTAAGATAAATATCTTCATTAAAATTTTTTTAAGTGATACATATTAATATAAATTAAACAATGTTTTCTTCGTCATCACTAAAAACACTATTAATTAACCGAGAGCGTTTTCTTTTTGGCAAGTTATCCTTATCCTCTGAGCATTTTTCTGCATTATCTTCAGATCCATGCTTTACCTTTTGCAAAATGTATGTAATTTTAGATTGCTTGCTTCTAGTTAAAAGGTCTTTATAAATTTCCTTATATGGTGCTAAGCACTTATGAAGAATAAAGCAAGTATGGAATAAGGGAAAAACATTCGGCAACATCAGAAGCAGAAGCGTCGCGATCTGGCAACATTGAAACAAGTTTCGAGAAGGACCACGTGTATCGACAGAAGGCGAGAAGAGAAAATTTACATACTTAAGTACTAATAGTTCACGAAAATAATAATTTTCGTGAACTATTATTAGTTAAGTATGTAAAAATTTATTACATTTCCTGTTGTACGAGGGTTTTACCCAATTCTCGAACCGTGTCAGAGTGAATCCGTGCTATAAAAGTACCGTGTTATACGGGGGATGGTACCAATTTTCGAACCGTGTTAGAGCGAATCCGTGCTGTAGAAGTGCCGTGTTATACGGGGGTTACCTGTATAGACTTAAGAGAGTCCTGAGATATCGTAGTAGTTACGAGACTTTCTACAATACTGTATTGTGAGAATCTGAATATTGAATTGGTATTTTTATAAGATTTTAAAGCAATATAATATTTCGATATTAAATTCGAAACTTTTATTTTATAAAAAAGTCGAGGAGAACAAGGAACAAACGTTTCCTTATTGTCTGTTAGTTCCTGAGAGAGATCGTTAAACTCTCTTATGACCATAAGTATCTGACTAAATAAGTCTCATCTTGACATTCCGTCAGATGGTCAAATTACTTAATTCTCATTGGAAGAGAATATTTGTGTAAAAGGAGTTTACGTGCAAAACTCTGCGCGCATTCTACAGTAAATATTAATATCGCTATATATATTAATTTTGTGCCTGATCATCTATAATTCCCATCTCTCGAAGATATATATATATAACTGAGGAATTATACTAATATTTATTGTAAACTCTCTCTCAATATATAGTAATAGCGTTATAGTTAGATAAGTTAATGCTCTCTAGGTTACTTTGTGTACTGTATATCCATTTGTATTATTTGATTTATGAAATATACCTTTATTTGTTAAAATGGAAGTTAGTTATTATTTTAAAGAACTCATATCGAAATTATGCTGTATAAGTACGTTCGTTCGTTCGTTAAGTTATGGCAACGCAACACTTGGGCGATCTGCCTAGCGGGAATGCCTTCCGGGAGGTCTTTTTAAGGAAAACTGCCCCTATTTAGGCGTTACAGACGTGGAGAAAACCCGGAAAACTCCACGTGGTCAGCCTGTCCGAGCGAGGCGCGAACCCACGAGCGAACTCCGAGTGTTCAGGGTACGAAAACCGCTTGGCTACTGATGGGCGCTGTATAAGTAATACGTTATACGAGGGCTACCTACAGATATATTCAGGGCCGCCGTAAGCGGGCGTGCAAGGCGTGCACCGCACGCGGGCGGCACGTCCAGGGGGGCGGCAAAGAGCCTTTCTGGCAAGCTCAGCGTAGGTAGTCGTAGTTAAACAGGGGGCGGCATAATCGGTATTGCACACGGGCGTTCAAACAGCTAGCGGCGCCCCTGGATATATTGATAATAATATATGCGACTAACCGTCGCATATATAATTATTATCAATTGGTTGGTTACATTTAACAGAAAGAAAGATTTGCAGCGATAATCTGTAGGAATCTGTCGAGATACATAAAAAATATGGTTTGCTAAAAATATTGATAATAATAATATATGCGACTAACCGTCTCATATATTATTATTATCAATATTTTTACTATTATTATAAAGTTTTTCTTTTCAAATTAACACACTAGAGAAATTTAAATCACATACCTTTGTCAGTTAGCATAAAAAGAATTGTTAAAACGATCCAATAGTTGAGATTCATGGTTACAAATCTATAAAACATATTTTTGATCTATTATAAAGTTTAAATGTTTACAAATATTAAATTAGAAATATATATTGTACAAAATATTATAATAAAGTAGGCACTTGAAAAGCCTTTGCCATCACGGTCTGAAAACTAGAACGTTTGAATTCAGTCCGTAAATTGTCTATTTTTTGAATAATAAACTATGACTAAATAATGATTTTCCTTCATTTCTAAATTCTCTATTGCAATAGATGTATCTTTTACAATACAAAATATGCGCCCCGCGAGGTATCCTGATATGTGATCCCTGTGTTTCGGCAACGTAATTTTATTTTCCTGTTTTCTGTCTGGTGTCACCCCCAAGTAAATTCTCAATATATATATAGGGTACATCGGGGAAATATAAGCGCATATTCGTAACTCCGTAACAACAGTGCGAATGAGATGTGCCATATATAAAACTCTTCCACGGAGTCATTTTTAACAGCGTGGTTGGTTACATTTAACAGAAGAAAGAGTTGCAGCGATAATCTGTAGGAATCTGTCGAGATACGTAAAAAATATGGTTTGTTAATTATATTTGTCAGCTTGAACTAGCTGTGTAAGCTAGATTTGCTGTAGTGTGACTTTTTGGAAAACAACGTTCTTTTTGGTAAGAAATGAATCGATATGAATCTGTCGACGTTCACGGTTTTATGTTTCGTTTCTTTACTGAAAAATTTATTTTAGGTATAAAAGTAGAATCAAGCTTTTGCAGCATTATTTAGCTAATGTCATTCTTCTGATTCCTAGAAATTACAAATTCAAAGACCTCGGGGGAAATTGGAACGAGCACAATTTGAAATTGGCGAACTTTATCGAAAACCTTCGCTATTCCGAGCAGAAAGTACGACGACACCTGACTTCGAGGATGCAAATTGAGCAAGAGGTATTGAGTGAAGACTCAGACCTATTCAGTCTATAATATCCAAACGACCCTGAGATATTGGAGACTGAATGAAGAAAAAGCAAATAAAAAGTCAAAATTTTCATTCCAGCAGATAATGGAACAAAACTCAAGCCCAAGAACACACACGAAGCCAGTGAAAAGAGAACACCTCAGCAGGCAGAAGTAATTAGCTTATTCACATAAGAAGCAAAACTAGAAGCAGCAAAACCGTCTCTAGTCGATAGCAATAAACGTAAAGAAATCAGCTTCAAAGTGCAAAATTCGTAACACAACGAGAGAAACAATTTTAAGACAAAAACAAAAAGTATACTAAATAAGCTGAATGTTTATAGGCTATGGTAACGAACTATTTTTAAGAAAAGCGGGAAAATGGATAAGATGTGAAAAATGCAAAAATACAAACTTTTACAAGTAATAATAAGTATGTAATAACTACTCGTTAGAATAGACTTATGATACAGGCGATATAATGCTTTCAATTCAGTTGTGTTTCTATTGTTTTTACGTTTGTATTTTTGAATTATAAATAATTTATTACGAAACTCTTACAGTTTGAAGGAGTAATATGAGCAAATACAACCCTTTTTAAAACTGCTGCATTTCAGAAACAAAGTGGAGTATGGTACTCAAGTGTTTGCAGTATAAAGATAGGTCTATGAAGAAGTTGACTCTGTCAAAAGTCTGTTACATTCATTTAATTTTAGAAAGAAAACTGACGTCACGCTTAATGTGTTCATATTTTCCCGGTTTACTCTCTATATATTACTAAATTAATTTACATATTATTAGCAAATAACTTATTTTAGTACCTAGTGTACTGGTGATTATGAAGTATATTGGTACTCCACAAAAGATGCTTCCAGAAAGAGCTGCTAATCACTGTGATATAATTTGAAGAATTTGTAAATTTTAAGAAAAAACAAAAATTTTGCACTTTATAAAAAATTATTATTAAGACTCGTAACACCTTTAATTATGCATGCAATATCTAGCAAATGGCCTTAAAAACTGAATTATTTTTCTACGAATTTTTAAAATCGTAAAAAAATTTGTAGAAAATTAACCAATTTCATTTTCAAAATTTTGAATAGTACTTTAATAGAAGAATTCAGTAAAGTAATACCATTACTATAAGGCCAATAACCATCGTTGGTGTATACTGTATTGTCAATATTGAAGCCATAACACCGAGAAATGAATATCGATAAACGAAAAAATATAGAAATTAATTTTATATTTATCGATATTCTAATGGGTCGGGTCCCTACAAAGAACACGCACAAAATAGTTACGATTTCCTTTTCAACTTGTAAAGATTTTAGCGTAACATCTGTCCGTTGAATTAATTTATAATTTAGACAATATAATGATACACGAATATCTAAAATTCAAATAACACATTAATACTCGGAATATTCGGTTGGGGTTCTATTTAGTATTTTTTACAGCCAGGCCAAAGATTTGTACGAACTTTGAATAAAATATTTAAAAAACAAGTCTAAAAAAATTGAGCAGTGTTTTCGACTTGAATTCTTCCAAATGTATTTGATCTGAATTTCGAGATTCACAATAAAAAGCCAATAATTTAAAATAAATAATCAAAGATATAGATTATAAATATAATCGTTTACCTGAAGTTCCAAACGAAAAAAGATTTCTTCGTAAAACTTCCCTTCGAAACAAGTAACAAGTAAATTTCTTCTGTAGCCTATAAATGAATTTCTATTGAATAAGTGACGTAATAAGCACTCTATCAGTTGTTGGGGCGCGTGATATGGCAAGCGTCTAAAAAAGTAAGCTAATAACTTAATTCGTTTCATATGAAACGAACACTGTCATTGGCTTCCTTAGTTATTTGCTAGCTACCTAATGGCAACCCTGAATATACATTATTTGTGTACGTATACATAAATATATTTGTATATTGTATGTATTAAGTTATGTATGTATGTATTAAGTTAATAATGTATAATTATTATGTTAATTATTAAGTTAATAATGTTATTATGTTAATTATTAAGTTAATAATGTTAATTATTATTATGTATGTATTAAGTTAATAATGTATAATTAGCTTAATTAGCAAATTTAAATAATGAGCTGATTAATTAATCAATTAGTCGAATCATATCAATTAAGCAAGCATATAATAATTGCCATAGTTATCTATAGGCATTAATAGAATTTAATATGGCCGGAAATCTAATTTAAATTCTATTTAAATATTATAGCAAAACAGTATTAAAAGAACGCTTCCATTCTATCGTCTACCCTTTAAGTCAGTGTTTCCCAACCTTTTTTGTACTATGCCCCACCTAAGCCTTTCTAAAATTCTTACGCCCCCCTAACATTATACAGCAGCCACATGATTAACTTAAACTCTGGACGAGTCCATTTTCGAATTGCCCCTTTAACATTCCAATTGCCCACCTGTGGGGCGTGGACCCCACGTTGGGAAACACAGCTTTAAGTGTTCGAAGCAGAGCGCCTGTACATTGGGGCACTTGCTCCCCCTTGTCGTCAGGTTGCAATTTTCTTAATTCTCAAGGGAGCAAAAAAAATCAAATCAAAAGCTGAAAAATTTCCTGAGTATGCCTGCAGCATATCCGCTAGGAAATTCAAAACACTGCTTTAAGATAAAGTTGTATTCTTTGACCTTTAATATAATCAATATTTAAAATCGATACTAATTTTGCGTTTACAGTAACATTTATCTATATATATAAAAAATGAATGTATGTCTGTGTGTCAGTCTGTCTGTTCTTCATGCATTACCACACCGTTTATCCGATTGCCATGAAACTTTGGGAAGTTGTTTAATATACTCCCGCGAAGTTTTCTGGCATAGTACATTTATCCTACGATAGATGGCGCGAGTGTATACGAGCATTTCACGGTGTGTTCGATCGATTTCAAATTGTGAAGACCATTTCCCCCTCCAAAAAATATCTCTATATATGCACTGTTATTTACGATATTTGTAATGCTTTTTGTTTAATCACTTTATTGCAACTTTTTTTTGCTAATTACGTATTCGCTCGAACTTTGTTAAAACCTTAACTGTATCCCGAACAACAACCGAAGTCGCAGGAGGAAATTCGCCTATTTTACCGATCTAGAAATCCCCTTTTCCAAATTTTAATATCGACTCAAAATAATTTAAAAAGACAAATTACAATAAAACGGTTTATTATCCAACTATCAGAAATTTCACAACATGCCAAGGAAGAGAGGAAGGAGCAATTAAATACTGTAATCAAAATTATAAAGGATTTAAAAATATATATAAAAATGGGGAATATCGCACTTCTGACAATCGCTGCGAGTGTGTGAGCTAAATTTGGAGAATCCGTGCTTCTCGCATAGACAACTGTATGTGGCGAGATCGCGCGTCGGAAAATCTTCTGATTTATTCGTGTACGCACCAGACGGAAAAACAAATATCGTGTATCCACAAGCACTCCAATAAATAAATAGTTTTGAAACGACTCTTTGAAATGTTTTCCCGATGAAAATGAATAATAAAAATAAGTTTCAATAAAAAGAATAAAATGTAAATTTAATTTTATCATAACGAGTTTGCTTGAATTTCCTTTCTTCTGAGATCGCAGCAATGCGCGACGGGTAAGCTAGTATTGTATAAATTATACATTACAGTTTTAAATAATCTTACACACAGTCGCAGAATTTTGCGCTAGCTTTATTGAGGACTAGCAGACCCCGTCACGCGTTGTTGTGGCTCAAAATGTATCTATTATAAATGTATAACACTTCTCCCGTGGGGGGTGGGAATTTTTCGAAAAATCCTTTCTTAGTATACATTCTCTTGACGTACCCTATTAAAACGCAATCAAAAACGCAAAATACCGCATCTAAAATAGTATAATAGAAGCCAAGTTCTTCACGGTAAGCCTTAATCCTGTCTCTCTCCCCCAGTGGGGGGATTTCGACACGTATATTATATAAAAACACGTGCGTATTCGAATGCAGCTTTATGTCAAAATTTCAAAGGAATCGGTAGGAATAAACGAGCATTATATTCTTATTTATATAGATAAATAAAAGATAATCTGCTTCAGTTCATCCTCACAGAAAAGCAAACTTAGGTCGTCGTACTCGTAGCGCCATCTGTTGGACATAAAATCCTTCACCCTAGATGATATATTTTAATTTATATGAATGTTTAACGGAATAATACCTATATGCCTATGTCCACCCTGAAGTTCCATTCTAAATATCGGTGAAAGAATTTTTGAAATCGGATGAGAACTTTTGGAGATTACCTCCTACATCTAAACTTACAAACTTTACCTCTTTATAACATTAGTATAGATTCCTCAATGATGCTAACAATGCAGAATTACAGGAATGCTCTGCAACTATTCTCTAAGTCAAATTACATCCACATTAAAACGTGCTTTCTTACGTGGTAATTAAATAATTTTAAATTATAAAAACAAATCGCGAATTTGAAATAAGTAACGAAAAACATTTATAGTGCGGCGACAATTCACGGACTGGTGAGATGGCGCCAATCCTTTACAAGTTTTCCGTGAATCCCGGATGGAAAAACGGGGACAGGGTTTTTCCCAGAGTGGATTCTGGGTATTGTTGCTTCTTCTTCTTGTCGGGTGATCTCTGCCATGAGCACGTGTAGCTCTCTTTCAAGTGTACTCGAGAATTGTTGTAAATAAATGTTGTTTTAGTTTAAAACGTGGTCGTGGACTTAACTAATTCACGTTTACAGCCTTCTGATAAAGACAGTCTTTGTGGAGATGTAAATGGATGGAGAAAGACGGCCAGGTTTCGTCTAACTGACGGCGGCCATCCATTACTTCCAATAGTAAAAGACAGCTTTTCATCAGTAACGATTTACAAGTCGTCATGCAAAATAAAAAAACGAACAGAATAAATTAAAACAAACATTGCAACAAATTAAAAATATCAAATAGCCTATATTATTTGACTTACGCTAAAAGTTTTCCTAGTTTATTTATTCTATGTGGTCTTCTATTGTGTGTTTCTTGTTTATCTATATCCTTCCACGTTTTAAAAAATCTATCATCTAGCTTTCTGTTTTCTTCGAATTTTATTGTAATGTTCGAACAAATATACAGCAAATGCATAGTATATAATTGTACAAGAATCAAAACCGAATCCAATTTTTTATGTTTCCGTAGAGAATATGTCGAAAACGGACTTTACACCAGAAAAATAGGACTACAAAACCGACTTTACATATTATAATATATAATTTATATAATATTATATTTATGTATAATATTTTTTTTAATGTAAAGTCCATTTTCGACATATTCTCTATGTAAATATAAAAAATTGGGTTCGATTTGATTTTGTTTTTATGCCTAAAAACAAAATCAAAACCGAATTAATGTATACCTAGGTAACTAAAATGGCGGCGCTCCCGATTGAATCCTCCCGGAGGGGAGCCGCCGACAGGCCGCCTAGTGTTTAACGTCACTAGTTATTGATTCGCGGTAGTTCTTGAACAAAATAAAAGAAAAAAGGAAACGTCTACTTAAAATATAGTTAATCTAACCTAACCTAAACTAACCGAACGCCGCCACTTTAGTTACCTAGTTATACATTAACCCAAAACCGAAACCAACTCCAATCAACTGAAATTACTATTCATGTCTATTGGTCAAATGATACGAATTAATTTAAATAATAAGGAATTAATGTTATTATACATGTATAATCTATATTAATGTCTATCTTACCTAATATCTAAGTGAATACCTTACTAAGATGCACAGTATAAAACGCCTCTAGTCCGAAACTCAACAGAGAATAGAACAATTGTCAAAAATATAGTAGCTCCCTCGTATGTCGTATGAACAAAATTACATTAAAATGACGTAACTTCAATAAGCCCTACATTAGCTGTAAATTAAAGTTTTTTGTGTGTACATAATGGATTATTTATATATAATTTATTAAATATGATTATATTAAAATTAATTGGTCTAATCGTATCAATTAATTAAACATAATATAATTGGGCTATTATTAAACATTAACTGAACTTAATAGTCCAAATAAGTTTACAACATTGTTTTTTAATGTATTTCTCGATTGCGTGACACAAAATCACTTCCTAAAACTAAAATCATAAAATTATTTTCTCACGTTAGTCATTATCTGTTCATTAAATTAAAGATGAACTTGTATGAAAAGCCCAGATTGTATTTGAATTTTCAATTAATTTTTCATTTGATTGAAATAGTCGCAATTCGAATATGTAAATTAAATATAAAATATATGAAAAAGTATTAAAATATTTTGTATTAATTTTTTTCAAATAGCCTATAACATTTGTATGTTGAAAAGCATAATTGAAAATATGAACCTTATAGTACTGTACTCCTTTTGATTTCTTAAACGAAGTAAATTTTAGATCGATTATTTTATTTATGTACAGTCGACCCCCCTATAACACTGTTGATTATTTCGTTTTATATGAATTCCATGTTGTACGAGTCACTTAGATTTTACAAATACGTGTGCCGGGCTGTGAACGGCTCACGTATTTGTAAAATCTAAGTGACTCGTACAACATGGAATTCATATAAAACGGAATAATCAACAGTGTTATGGGGGGTTGACTTGTATTATCGAGAATAAAAATGATTCTTGAAGCTAAACTAATTATTATTGTTGTGTAATATGTATTTATTCTTTTATGGGCAATCATATTTAAGGAGCTCTATTTATAGGCACTAAGAGGGCCTTTGTTAGCATGCTCATTATGGGACAAGCAGGCCCACCATGGAACGGCCGGGTGATGGACAGATCTGTCAAATCGTAAAAATTCTCTTGGTATAACATCGAATTAAATCAGTTGAAGTTTTTATGCAAAATAAAATGTTTTCAATTTCTAATATAAAATATTTTTTAAATTCATAATTCCTAACAAAAACTATATTTTACAGATGCAATGGTGCTTTGGTATTTCTTTTTTTACTCTTTCTGCCCTTTGGACACTAACAAGAGGGCCTCATTTAGCAAGTTCATAATGGATTCGGCCAGACTCACAATGGGACGGCTGGGTGGTGAGGGACGGGGCCCGACATATTCGGATGAACCACACCCCGAAAAATTCCTAGTGATTTATCGACCCGTCCGGATTTGGTCGCGGGTCCCCAGACCGGTAAGTTACCACCTTTACCGCTCGGCCATCCGACCGTAGGTACCTCGGTACTCGAACTTCTAACTTGAACAATTTGAAATCAGAATACATATTCGAGGAAAAAGTCGCTCGGTAGTGCACTGTTTACTCTGCACTCGGTTCAAACACGTCCTGTTAGAACAAGTTTTCGATTAACCACTTGCCGTACGAATGTTTTTAGGAATTTTTAATTAAACATAAAAAATACTTTAAAAAAAAAACGAAAGAAATGCGTTAATTTTGAAGAAAAAGCTTCAAACTTTAACTTCCTTTGTCTCCACTTTCTGTGAAATTTGGTACCGATGAGTCATTGTTTACACAGCTGGATGACCTTGAGAACATCTGGTGTTGGATTTCCCGGGACATTCTCATAGACGTCTCGGGAGGACAAGGGTTTAAAGTAGGGTGAATACTAGCTGGCCGTATATTTTAAATATTTTTAAAAAGTTAAAATTTTTATTGCGATTTCCGACCCCCCGATTTAAATAAACTTATATATAATAAAATATATTAATTAAAAAAATTTAAAAACTATTGGAGGTTGTTTTTGACATCAGAAACTAGCTTTAAATAACTTTATTGAAGTAAAATCCGTGCACTACAACTTTAGAACGATGAATGAAATTTGATTAAAAAAAATCCCATTAAAAAACAATTAAGCGTTAATCGCGCGTCATTAAAGGTTGATTAAAATCGCGATAAAATTTTTTGCGCGGGTAAAAATTTTTTTAAAAATTGGAGACAAAAACATTTTAAAAATCAAAAAACATTGAGGGCCGAAAGGACCGCGTTTTCTGTAACGCTATGTAACCTGCCCGAGTTAACTCGGGTTCGGGCGTCAAGTATTAATTAATAACAAATATTTTTATTTTAACTTTAATTTTGTTACCCATAAAAAATTCTCTATGATAAAAATGACTTACTAATTTAAAAATAAAATGAATCTTTAGAGTTGCCTATTTTCCTCAGACTGAATTGTTGCTATAATTAATAGGCATATTTTGCCGCTCTGTATTGCACACGAAACAAAGGAAATGTCAGTATTCCAAACAATAACATCTCTCTTCCTCCTCACCACATTTCACATACTCCATCATCTCTCTAAAGTTACAGATAAAGTGAGAAATTTGCATTTATTGCATGTATTTACTGTGTTTAAGTTTTTTACAATTTATGTATTCTTATAGACATTTTGTTAAATTTGTGTTAAATTCTAGTTAAAGTACTTTTATAAGTGTATTTTTGGGGGGTCTGAAACAAATTAATCTGATTTACGTTATTCTTTATGGGAGAAACTCGGTCGGACTAGAACAGCCTTCTGGGACGAATTAAATTCGAGTACAGAAGTACTACTACCGTGTTTCCCCGAAAATAAGACAGTGCCTTATATTAATTTTTGCTCTGAAAGATCCGCTAGGTCTTATTTTCAGGAAATGTCTTATTTTTTCCATGAAGAAGAATTCACATTTATTATTGAACAAAAAATTCAAAGTCGAACTTAGATAAGAGTGACGTATATCCGGTCGTGTCAAACTGAACTTACCAAGTTCCCGTGCTGGAGTGGACTTCCCACTCTCTTCTTCTTCTTCTTCTTCTTCTTCTTCTCCTTCTCCTTCTCCTTCTTCTTCTTCTTTTTCTTCTTCTTCTTCTTCCAGGGAAACACGGTATATTGCCAGTGGCATAGCGTGGGTGTCAGCTGCCCGGAGCGGAGCGGAGGAAAATTTCGCCGCCTCCTTATTTAGGTATCTCGATTTAAAAGACTAAAATTCAGTTTCGTCACAGAATAAGTAATGAAAAATTCCGTGCTCATTTCAATCGGTCCGAATCATAGTTGCCACAAAATGAAATGGTTCAAATTTTTGCAAGATATTGTTATTTATTGTGAAACTTTGCCTCCTCCTCAAAGTGCCACCCGGGGCAGGCCGTCCCAGCCGCCCCACTACGCTACGCCACTGTATATTTCGAACTTTTTTCAGAAATAAGATTATATTCTAAAATGCTACGAATTTCTTAAATGTTTATACTGCAGGGCTTCTTAAACTTTTTTTACTCACGACCCCATTTATGATTGTGATTTTTTCGCGACCCCCCAAATATATAAAATAAAGATATACAAATTTGCAAAAACAATACTGGTGTACTACCACAGTTTACTCTTGTGTTACAATGGAACAAAGACAACTAAGTACACTGAAAAGCGACAACATTACACTAGTTCACACTACAATCAGTGTTGCTGAATCATTGTCTCGCTGAAGTGACACAAAGCGCAACTCACGAACTTTGTGAGAGTTTGAAAATGGCACAAAGTGTGCCATTTTCAAACTCTCACAAATTATTTTCAATATTTTGCATTAAAATCTCGCGACCCCAAGATTTCTCTAAGTGACCCCAAATGGGGTCGCGACCCATAGTTTAAGAAGCCCTTGTTTATAGTAAAAAATGACTATTAATCACAATATTTTTTTAAAATTTTATATTTCATTATTTAGGTATTAAAATGTAATAATACAAATTTATCATTATTCTTAATGAACATTTTGAAGTACAGAATGTGTATAAATTGAAAAGTCAATTTCTTTAATCTAAGAAAAAAAAAACTATAATGCAGCTGTATTTACCAGTAAGATTATTTCGAAATACAGTAGAGCGTCGATTATCCGAATCAATTGGGGACTGTGGTTGTTCGGAAGATTGATGTTTCGGATAACCGATTACGTACGAAAAAAATATAACCTATTCCGTGTTGAAATTTTTCTCCGTTGCGTGTCGCTTCACGTTGAATTTTCGTCGTTGTTAAGCCTAACGAAGCTTTGTTAAACGTTGTTAAAAATTATTTTTTTATTTTGTATAAACAAAATAATTATATTGAAAAATATAAAAACAATTAAAAATTATACTTCAGAAGTTAATTTAGTATAAAAAATGTAAAATATTTGAGTAGCCCAAGATATAGCCAAAGATTGCAGCGCCACAGCACCAGCGAAAATTTGAATTTGCCGACTGAAATTTTTTCGGATGATTGACGTTTCGGTTGATTGACTTTCGGATAATCGACGCTCTACTGTATTATAACTAAAATATTTTAAATAAGTTATTTATAATCGTATTGTGGTTTTAACTTATTTTAAATGCATATAAGGAGGTGGACACGATGAGATACAGTCGACCCCCCTATAACACTGTTAATAATTCCGTTTTATATGAATTCCATATTGTACAAGTCACTTAGATTTTACAAATACGTGAGCCGTTCACAGCCTGGCACACGAATTTGTAAAATCTAAGTGACTCGTACAAATGGAATTCATATAAAACGGAATTATCAACAGTGTTATAGGTGATCGACTGTATTCGAAAATCCGCTATTTTCCCTGCTGGAATATGATAATAGTGGGTCCGGAAGAAACAGTGATGGGATTTTGTTGCACAATTACAGATTAAGGTGATCGACAGCAATTACAGCAGAAATAACATATGCACGAACAGCAAGCAATGAATCCAACCAATCCTATATTAATAACAACAACAGATCCAGTTGCAAGTTCTGAAATAAAGAAATTAAAAAATATATATATTAGGCAGGATGTTACTTTTAAAC